CCTTGCCTGCTTCAGAGTGGAGTTTGTAAAGCACCTTTCAAACCAAATGAATGCAGTGACATACTAAAGCAATCCATATCTGAATAGCGCTGAGGGTGGCGTTCTGGAGCTGGAAGACTATTTTAGCACAGCTCTGCTTTGGATGGCTTTGGTGTGCCATTTTACTCGAGTTACTTTTCATTCTCTGCTGCTGAAGGCTGGGAAACCGTCCAGAACGTGCCTTGAGGCAGCACAATTAAATGAAGCTTGGAGAATCAGAAAGGCTGATTTGGGCTAGTGGAAGTCCACTAGCACATTACTAGCACATTGCTGGATTTCAGCCAATGGCATTTTTTTAAAAAAAAACTTAGTTTCTTAGTAAAGTTTTCAAACTTTCTTTTAAATAATACCATAAGGGAGGACTAAAATGTCATTTCATGTTATTTGTTTTGACTGATTTGGATTTACTGTCTGAGGATTAAACACACAATATTCCAATACAGAAAGAGTTTGTGCTCTTATTTACTCTCATTAAATTCTGTAAAAGCTCCAGAGTCTATTGCGCAGGCCTCCAGGCACAATTAAAAATGAATTGCTTCCCTTTATCAACAGAGAAGAAAAGGACCTGACTGTTTTGCAAATCACTTCTCACAGATACTCTAGATAAGATTTCTTTATTGGTATGATACTATAGGCCTTCTTTCTTCAAAGACATAGTTTGAATTTTTACATTGCCTTCTACGTAACAAAAAGTGCAGGGTTATTTTTTTTCTTCCCCTCTAAAAATTCTTTTAGAAAAACATACAAGGGAGAAACAGGTCAGTTAGCTTAACAGCTGCTCTGTGTAATTTGGTAAAAAATATTCTTAAAATTAGAATTGTTGAACATGTAGAAGAACCAGCTCAGTGAGAAAGAATCAGCACGGCTTCCACAGAGGTAACTACAGTACCTCACAAACTTTTGCAGTTCTTTGAAAGCATTAACATGAATGTGGATATGAGGTAATCTTAGTTAATATTACATACATGGTCCTTAAAAATCATTTTTATCTTAATTCATACACACATACTCATACTCATACGCAGACACACACACACACACACACAGAGAGAGAGAGAGAGAGAGAGAGACATGCATATCTGGCTGTATCTCTATGTGCACAAACACACACACACACACACACATGCAGCAATCATCACAGTTACATAAGCTCCAAATCATTTAACTTATATTTAACTAATGTACTGGCAGGTTTTACAGGGGGGGTGCAATCTCCTTCTCCTATGGGACATTGCAAACAGTTTTCTAAAGTTTTTTTTCTTCCTTTATCTGTAACAGCAAAAGAATGTGTCCCACTGAAATCAGACCAAGCAGTTAGCTGGTCCAGTACTGTACCCTACTTTCAACAACAATGAACGGATGACTCTGGAAATTCCGATTTATAGCCAGTGGTATATGTGCAGCAGGTGGTATAGTTGGAAGTGTAGGTGTGCAACATGAGGATGCTTATACAGTAATCAACTCCTAGGCAAATGGTCTGTGGCATAACCATCCTCCATAACTCAATTCATCCTCCGTAACTCAGCTCAGCTATCCCACAAACTGCACCAGAGCACAGACAGAGTTCTGACTCCTGTCCTCTGAAGATGCCGGCCACAGAGACTGGCAAAACGTTAGGAATAAAAACCTCAAGAACACAGCCAGACAGCCGAAAAACCTACAACCACCATCCTCCATAAATTTGTCAGATCCCATTTAAAAGCTGAGGTGGTGGCCATCACCTCATTGTGTGGCAGAGGACTCTGTAGATTAATTGCACGTTGTGTGAAGATGTACTACATCTATTTATCAATCAAATGCAATGAGTGACCTCCAATTCTAGTATTATAAGACTGGGAGAAGACTTTATATCTTCATAATCTTCCTGTGTATTCATGTGTTTCAAACTGGTTTTATGAATGCTCACATACCTAAGGGCTCTACAGACATTTGTAGCATGAGTTATGAGTTGGAACAAATGTCTCATAAAAGGAAAAGCTGATACATCTGTTTCTTTGCTACTCCAGGAAGAATAGGGGTTATCTGTGCATTTTTAAGGAACCATTCTTTTCATTGCTAGGCTGCTTCACATTCTGGACTGTAGAACATTCAGTCAAATCACACTATCTTACTGACATAATACCAGTAGGCTAGACATTTGACCATAATAAAGAGTTTGATGGGTAACTCAGAGACCTATAAATGGACTTTGACGGAATGACAAACTCATCTTAAACCCACAAAAGCTTTAAGTTGCCCCCAGTCTCTCTGTTATTTCTTAGTTTAAGTGGATCTACCCTATTCCTTTTATTTTAACAATAAATATTGAAGAAAGCCACATCAGAAAATAAAGGCAGTTTCATTTGTTACCAAGGTAATGATGAACAGACAACAGCTGTATTACACATTGCTGGAAGATGATCCTTCACATCTTTGTAGCACATACTTTATCCTGCAAAAAGGTACTTAGAGCAGTGGAATGATGATTAAAGTAAAAGCAAAGGAAGAGCTAAGAAGCAGGAGGTGCTAAAACGTCTGTAAGGCATTTTCTTTCACAATTTTGAATATAATTCGACATGGCAAGGGAGCATTTGACATACAAAAGCTCTCTCTCTCTCATCCAATCTAAATCGCTGGCCACCAAAATCAATGTATGTCATTGTCAAAGGCTAGCATTTCTGAAACACTTTTAAACATATGCCATATAAAGCAACAATTAAAGAATCTGGAAGTTGTTTGTTTCTAACTGACAGAGCAAAGTGAATTCATCATGCAACCAGCTTGTATATAATTTGATCACAGATGTATAGGAAGTCCCAAAGCAGAATTACATGTATAGGAGAGTAACATCTGGCCAAAAGATCCTTTGGCTTTACCAGAGCAACTTCTATGAACGTGGAAGGTTTGCCATGATATATTCAAGGGAGAGATGTATGTGATCAGAAGAGATACCTTCCATTTTTCAGATGGGGGCTTATTTTGATAGATATAAGATGGCTGAAAGATGCAGACATTTTTTCTTTCAAGAATTACAATTTAAAAAATGTCAAGTGGTAGCAGAGCAGCAATAAAACTCAAACTAGAAGCTTTCCTCACTGACAATGGCCCAATGAAATTGACATGTCATTGCCAAGGGCATTCTAAATTCAAAAGGAAATAAAAGCAAGAAAGAAACACGGTTGCCCCCAGTGGCTCTTTTTCAAAAGCTGTGGGTTTTGGCTTTTTGGTTTTTTGAGAGGTCTAACTGCAACTGATTACCTCCTGATGGCAAATGTAAGAAATTTCTGCTGACCCCAGATAATAAGCTCTGATCACTACCAAAAAATTAAGTTAAATTAAAATTGGGTGACTTTTTTCCCCCTCAGAACTAGTGGGAGCCCTGTTTGCTATAGTAAAACACACACACACACACACACAGAGTGACTTTTTTTCCCTCAGAACTAGTGGGAGCCCTCTTTGCTATAGTAAAACACACACAGAGAGAGAAAGAGAGAGAGAGAGAGAGAACTGAAAAATGGATTCAAATTGGAATGAGAATTTTTAATGTTGAATTTAGTGGAAACACTGATTTAAAACCTCACAAAAATGTGTTGCCTCCTACTTGTACTACCTACTATTAAGTCCTCAGCAGTATTGGTGTGTGACTAAAAATATGAATAGAGAATTTTCCAGTTTAATTCTGACCTCAGCAAGGCACTCACTGAGAGGTTTTTTAAAAGCTGTTGTTTATACCTCACTGGTTTAGTCCAGTCCCTGACTACTGAGCTATCTCAGAGGGATATTATCATTATTACTATTATAACATGTTTGTTTGTTTATCTCCCCTTTCTCCTTAAAGAGAACCCAAGGTGACTTGCATTATTGAAAAGACAATATGTAGAAGATAAAAACAGTAGGAATACTAACATTAAAACCCAATTAAACAAGCATTACATTAAAAAATAAAAAAAATCAATACTAAAACACATTTAAAACAGCAGAGTACAATCATTAATTTAAAAACCCCTCTCAGACCAACAATGATTAAGGGGAAGCCTGCCTGAAGAGAATGGTCTTTGCCTGCTTGTGGAAGGACAGCAATGATGGGGCCAGGCTGGCTTCCCATGGGAGGGAGTTCCAGAGTCTGGGAGCAGCAACTGAGAAGGCCCTCTCTAGTATGTCCACACCAAGTGCACCTGTGAGGGTCATGGGGTGAAGACAAAGGCTTCCCCGGATTATCTTCAAGTCTGGGCAGGCTCATAGAAGGAGATGCAGCCTTTTAGACAGCTTGGACTCAAGCTGTTTAGGGCTTTATAGGTTGACCAACACTTTGAATCACAAACACTCCAGCTATCCTCCCCTAAATGCTATGTACATCCTGCAGTCCTCAGCTCCACATAAACGTGTTTCCTTCTCTTTGCTAATGGTCCTATATTTTCCCACATAATTTAAGTATCTAATTTTTTGTCATGAATCTTGCATCTCGAATGTAAAGTATATATGTAATGGAACAAAAAGGTATATATTCCAGTTTACAGCAATGCCACCTAAGAGTAAGTTCACTAAGACTTCTAAAAGATGGATCAATACCTAGAACTTGATATGAATCTTGAAAGCTGCATATACCAGTTCAATATACAGGGCTTTAAAAAAAAACTGAACACATTGGGCACCTACTAAATGTTTTTCAACCTTCAGAAGTTCTGTTGCAACAAAGCTAATATATTAAAAAGTCTGCATACCTTGTGCTATATAACTACTGCACTTTTAAAAATGCATTTTAACAGAAGTCACATTTTGCAAAATGTATTTTATTCACTTGGGTCACAAAGTATTTTATTTAAGATAAAATGTAATTAACTGTTCTGAGATTTTTCTGAATTGTAAATATTGGCTTTACAGTTAAGGCAGACTCTCTCAACAAGTCAATGCACCAAACCTTGCCTTTCATTTTTAAGTAATGCTTCATGAACTGAAAAAGTGCCGGGTCACTATGAATTTACCTTGTCTTTTGAAGAGGTTGCTCTGTACGATTTCCTTCATGGATTGCACTTTTTGTTTCTTTAACTTTTCTGGTGGAATGCAAGTGTAAAATTCATATAAGAGCTGGCTGCATATAAAGACAGAATTATGAAACATAGGTCAGATTAGGTTGCTCTGGTTTATTTTTTCAAAAAATAAACTGCTAAACATAGCATAGTCTGCTTACAAGTATTTATTGGGTCATGATATAGTGTATATACTGTATTTTCTTATTCTGCTTATAAAGAATTCAAGGTTCCGTATCTGTAGCAAGATGTCTATCCTTCCTAGACAGATTTCTTATATAAATTGTGTCTTAGGCTAAAACTCCCTTCACCACCAGCTGTGCTGGCCAGAATTTCTGGGCGTTGTAGTCCAGCAACATCTGAGTACCTACGGTTGGGAACCATTGACCTAGATGTTATTGATGTCTGAGTGCCAGCTCACCTAAGTAAACGGACATCAAACACTGTTTCTACATCTTGAAGAACAGATGGGATATATTTCAAGGCTGCCACCTGAAAGAAAGAAAAATAATATGCTTGATTTATATGTTTTGAAAACATTTTAAAAGTTCAACGTATAATTAATGATATTAGTCATCAGCCCTAAGCAGTTTTATTGAGCTCTAAATCCCAAGTAAAATTCATAGGGTTCCGAGAACCATAATCCTCATCCATGAGGAGGAAACTTTTTTCTCTCCAACAGTCACATTTTGTTGCAATATCCACAGAGATGTTGACGCACAAGATAGGCAATGGATGACATTTCTCACCTAAAGAGGGTAAACCATGTCCTCAAGTTTCAGCCATTTGCCATGATTTAATGGCATATATTACCTGATGCCATGAGAAGACTTCTTTTATCTCAGCAAATGTAATAGACTGGGACAAAACATCCCAAACTGCTCTTTTTACAAACCATGATGCCAAGCGCTGGTTGTTGCCAGATTGGCCACAGAGAGAGAGGACAGTGGAATTCCCGATGGGTTCAGAAAACACAAGGCAAATACATGAAACCCATTCCCTAAATTTAAGCACAATGCTAATTCTACTGGGATTCAGAAAATACTCAATACAGTGTAATAGTAGCCGTTTTCATTGCCATTATTTTATCCTGCTGCATATGGGTTAATATCCTGAACTACCAAAATGATCCAGAGACATCCGTCACAAAAGCTACAGAGTGTGGTTTAGACTCTGATTGTGTTTCTACACCCACTTCACATTTTAGAGTCCCAAGCGAAATTTAAAACGGCTTAAGATAATAACATCCACTGAAATTAAATCTATGACTACAATTCCTCCTCTACAGTTCTTCTCAGATACTCCTCCTACACACTCCTCCACCCACACAAGCCTGAGGGAAAAAAGCCAAACTAACAAGTGAACTGGCAGCCTAGCATTAACATTTTGAGTCCACACGGAATGACAGATCTATCAAGGGAAAAAGAGATTTGGGGCTCCCAGTGCTCTTAAATATTCTTCACGGTAGAGAAGCAAGAGAAGCCAAAGAGAGAAAGAATAAGAGATTTATATGGTAAAAATTAAAACGTGCATAGATCACTACCTCATTGGCTGGAAGACTGAGGAAAGGGGAGATTACAGAAGTTTCCTGTAGATCTACAATAAATTATCTACTCATCTGTGGCAAATAATCACCTCCCAGATACTGTGATTTAGTAAAGACGTGTTCAGTACAATTACACAATTCAGACTTCAGAATGATACAATATGATAAAAGAAGAACTAGACTGAGGGCTGCAGAGAAGAGCTCAATGAAAAACAATCACCACCACTGTGACCAATTTATTAATGCTTTAATCCTCTATCAATATTTGGTGGCTCTCACCCTTGCAAACACATGCCCATGACAACACATTCCCAGTAGGCAGCTGTGTTAGACTTTTATGAACTGTAGAACAGAACAAAACACAAAGGACCAATTTCCATAAAGCTTCATAGCTGCCTATATTGAAGGTTATTTTCACTTGTCACAGATGACTGGAGAATTTATATGCTCCAATTGTCTGGTCTTGTCAGGAAAAGTCCCTATTTTACAATATGTAGCACTTGTAAAACACTGTCCCCATTTTACCTTTTGGAGAGGTGTTCAGACCTTCTTAAAAATTTCTTGACCTTCATATAGGTGCATCAAAGATCTGTAGATTTTCAGTTTTGTTTGTTCAGTCGTTTAGTCATGTCCGACTCTTCGTGACCCCATGGACCAGAGCACGCCAGGCCCTCCTATCTTCCACCGCCTCCCGGAGTTGTGTCAAATTCATGTTGGTTGCTTCGATGACACTGTCCAACCATCTCATCCTCGGTCGTCCCCTTCTCCTCTTGCCTTCACACTTTCCCAACATCAAAGTCGTTTCCAAGGAGTCTTCTCTTCTCATGAGATGGCCAAAGTATTGGAGCCTCAGCTTCAGGATCTGTCCTTCCAATGAGCACTCGGGGTTGATTTCCTTTAGAATTGATAGGTTTATTCTCTTTGCAGTCCAGGGAACTCTCAAGAGTCTCCTCCAGCACCACAATTCAAAGGCATCAATTCTTCGGCGGTCAGCTTTCTTTATGGTCCAGCTCTCACTTCCATACAACACTACAGGAAAAACCATAGCTTTGACTATTCGGACTTTTGTTGGCAAGGTGATGTCTCTGCTTTTTAAGATGCTGTCAAGGTTTGTCATTGCTTTCCTCCCAAGAAGCAGGGGTCTTTTAATTTCGGGGCTGCTGTCTCCATCTGCAGTGATCATGGAGCCCAAGAAAGTAAAATCTGTCACTGCCTCCATATCTTCCCCTTCTATTTCCCAGGAGGTGATGGGACCAGTGGCCACGATCTTAGTTTTTTTGATGTTGAGTTTCAGACCATTTTTTGCACTCTCGTCTTTCACCCTCATTACAAGGAACTATGTGACTGACTGCATATCTGCATTCCCTGGGTATAATGCACAGCAAAGCTATACCTGCATAACTTTACATTATGTGGCAACAAACTGGATACTGGCCAAAGTCTCCTTATGCTATCACTTCTCAACAACTTTTCTTACCTTTTCCCCTATACTTTCATACCTTACTGTGAACTTATAGGGAAAATTTTAATGGCCAAGTCTAATCTAGCCAATACTATACAGTTGACTTCATTCATTTCAGTGAAGAAAAACTTGACAACAGGAAGTAGGTATGTTATCTTTTATAGAAGTAGATGTTTTTCTGGAACTCTCTGGCTTTCTCCATAATCCAGCGCATGCTGGCAATTTGGTCTCTAGTTCCTCTGCCCCTTCGGAATCCAGCTTGTACTTCTGGGAGTTCTCGGTCCACATACTGCTGAAGCCTACCTTGTAAGATTTTGAGCATAACCTTGCTGGCGTGTGAGATGAGTGCAATTGTCCGGTAGTTGGAGCATTCTTTGGCACTGCCCTTCTTTGGTATTGGGATGTAGACTGATTTTCAGCACCCAGTCCAAAGTCCCCCAAACACTGGACAGTGGTGTGATATGAGATGACATGTCTGAGCTATGAGCAGGATCTCCCGGGGGTGAGGGTGAGACAGACATCAAAGTAGCTGCTGGTGGTCCCCTCTCTTATGGTCCCTCTCTTTTTCTTGCGGGGCAAACAAGAGTTGCAGGAGGAAAGTTAAATTAAGAGAACTTCTCCAGGTCATCTGGACTTTTTTAAAAAGTTAACTCTGAAAGACCCAGATCATATACCTCCCATGGTGCATCTAGTTTTTGCCTCAGTTATCTGGATAAAGTGAACTGTATATTAACTATAGGAATGTTACTTATGCAAGTATGTGAGATCCAAAAGGAATAGCTTCCTTTCCATTTCCCTCTGCCTGCCCATCCGTAATAATACATTTTGCAGACAGCAAATATTGTAAGACAGAGGTGCTCCTATTTCCTTGTGTCAGATATCAGAAGCTATGTTTTTTAAAAGGTGAACTAATTGAGTGATGGAAGTTATCTGGTTTCAACTTTGCACAATTATGAAGTCCCCAAGTGACCTTAAGCAGGTCATCCTGATTCTACTTACTCATTCTCTTCAACTCAGGAGCAGGGCAGTATCTGGTCCCTAACTGATTTCTCTAGGTAGAGACCAATTTTCCAGAGTTCCAGCTCATGATTGCGAGCAGGAACCTCTCTTTTCTTCAGGCACATCACTCTCCACAAGGAGAATGAGAGGACAAAGAGGGAAAGGGCTAAGTCTCCTGCATATACGTATGTTGGAGAGAATGGAGAAAGCTTAAGTTGAACATCCTTTATGTTTCAGCTTAAACAAGCTCAGAGTGTTAGGAGAAGCAGCCCTTTAAATGCATCTGGAGCTCCTTGCTCGAATGATGGTATGGTAGTTAATAAAAACAAATAAAACAAAAACTAAACTTGCTTTTTACTAGCCTTGTACTGTCAAAGGAGAAGGTAACCAGGAGACAAGGAGGCATAATTTCTCACAAGATGACCTTGAACAAATGAATAGCCTAACAAATGAATGGCTGTAGCTATGTTCTAGCCAATCAATCAATCAATCAATCAATCAATCAATCAATCAATCAATCAATCAATCAATCAATCAATCAATCAATCAATCAATGCATATATCTGTCTAAGATGGATAAAGTCTCTGATATTATCTGTGCATGTCCCTGATGTATATATATGACAGGAATACTTAATATACATATATTCCCAGCACAGCATTTATTTTGTAGCTAATTCCATCAACATCAATTTTTTGAATGTGAAATATAAATGATGACAATTAGGGCAGGTTTACTAAGGTTCAGTAACAGAAGGGCAAGTGTCTGAGCTGTATTACTTTCAGGGAGCAGAAGAGATCCACAAAAAGAGAAGAAAAGAAAAGAAAAAGACAAGACAAGACACCACAGGAAAATAAAGCAGATTTCTATTTTTTTTCCACACTAGTGCTGTCCAATCAAAAGGCCTCTTTTCTGAATACTGGAGGTGACTTACATAAGCTGGCAGAGACACACTGGCAGAGACTGGGTTATGTGTCCCAAAGAATATCACCCTACAAAGTCTGATGAGGAAAAGTGTGCATTCTGGATGCCATCATCAAAACAAGGGCAGTGTTGCCATTTACAAATGCCTTGTATCCAGGTTAACCATAACCATCTCACGCACAGTGATTGAACAGATGCATAATCTTTAATTCCCCTACTCGTGCCATTTCAACTTCCTTTCTAAAACAATGGAAGACAAGCAGTGAGTGCGTAAGTGAGTTTGTTAGTTTGTTTTATAGGCTGCCTTTTTCCCAATAAGGGGATCCAAGGCAGCACAATGTGCTTGCAAAAATAAAATCTTGGGATAATCTCATATATTTTTGTACATATATCCATGGGCAGCTAGTGGGCTCAGCATCTCACCCCAGAATTTCATAAAGAATTTCATAAATTTCAATTTCTGCTATGAGCTGCTTATGTAGAAGAACCTTGACAGCAAGGTCAAAAAACGCAGGGCTATCACTGAAAAAGATTTATTTCTAGCGCCGCCTAATCTGATT